CTTGTATATAAGCTACCTGTAACCCGGAAGAGGAGTTCCAAGATTTCGTGGCCGCGTTGTAAAAACGGGGGTTGATCACCGTCGACTTCATCGTCAACTTTTGACTGCTTCCATTGGCACTGCCAACTGTAAAAGAAAATTTCAGCTTTATTGTCTGAGATAAAATGATGGAATTAGCTCCGTCCCCTATCAATAATATCGAACACCGTCTTTTACATGAAAACGGAAAAACTATTGGTGCAGCGTTATTTACATGTAGATTATGCATTTCAAAAGAATTGCAAATTAAAATCATATCCGTACTTCTTGTAAAATGACCTGATTATCTGAAGATAAGTTATTATTTCACTGTTTAAGGCAATACGTAAACAGCAATCTCATTCTAATGTCGAGCATTAAAAAGAGAAAAAAAATGAGGCAAATTAAGTTGCGGTTTACAACAATGGACTGTGCATAATCACACTTTCGTGACGCTGTTGTTTTTTCTTAACCAGGTAGCAAACACAGCACACTGAACTTACCGCCATCAGCAAGAATGAGCAGATTAAACGAGGACGCTCCGTCAAGGCCCTCGGCAGGAACGTACAACGACAACTCCCCGTTGCTATCCTGTGACACCTGGAAAATGAAATGAACAGGTAGACGCGGACAATTTGGGACATATAAAATGCTGCGTTTAAAATAAACACTGTATGTGAGATGGATATCTTAAACAGACAATGTTTTTTTGTAAAAGATAACAGTCAGTTATTGCTGTAGACCCACGCCATGTTTTAGGTCACTGTGCGGATTGTGGCTTCTATAACTCTTGTTAATTTTCGATTAAAAAAATCAAACGTGGAATCTCAAGGCACGAATATAAGACACAGCAATAAATTTTAAATATAATTCTATTCAAATGAAATTTAAAAGATAATTTGCGACTATGTGTACTGAAGCTTTCCAAGACTGTACGTCTCAATACCAAGGCCTCATGTGTATGTGATTTAAAATAAGACCAAGATAAAGGTACCGTATACGCCCATACTCACGTCTACAGTGATGGTGCTATTGACATCTGGTTGACTTGATGCCGTTGTAGATCTCTTTTTGCGCTGAAAAGAAAGTGAAGAAGGTATTTATAAATTTCATTTCAGTCGCGCCGACGTTTGTTGAAACTTTATAGGGCTAATTATTACAAAAGGACAATTTAGTTAATTTTCTATTCACAATTTTTTCTTAAGAGGGTAAATAAGTTGCTACTCATTATTGGTGCCATTAAGTCTGATAATTTTTAACCATGCTACTGGTACCAATACATGTATATAAAAAAGATAATAGTAAGCTCAAAGAGGAGCCATCTGCCCTGCTATATAACAGCACGATTTCTGGAGAATATTCTTGCAGAACGAATACTTACGGATGACGATGCGCCATTAATCGCGACTCTGAAATCGTACGAGCTGTTGGTTGCCTCCCCATCACGCCTGCCATAGAAATACGTCGTCCGATCCGAGGGAGGTCGGATAACCTGGAACAAATTTTGCGACCCATCGGATATTTCAATCGTCTGAGAAATTCCCTTTTGCGCTGTGATATTTTCCATATCGGCCTCTGTCTCCTGAAACTCTAGTGTCACGGGTATTTCAAAATCGACAAAAGAGTTCCCAAGATTCACCGCGCTTCCGTTTCCGGTCTGCATATTGATGCTGGTGACTTGGGATGTGATATTGCTGCCACCTTCACTGTACCTGTATGGGTTAAATCTGTTTGCTGCCACCTAGAAAAAGTGAAGTGATATTTTCGAATGATATATGCAGTTTCAGAACTTAAGGGAGCCGACGTTGGGCCATGCGCGCTTTACGGAGTAATTTGATAAAATCTAATGAAGATCGAATCCGAAAAAAAGACAATCTGGCCATGCTCCCTGTATCTGAAGCGAATAGTTCAAATGCACAAGCTCCATCAAGTCTATTAAAATTAAATAATTATTGTGTATTTTTCGATTAAACCGCCGTAACATGGCTAACGCCTAACGCACTCGCCTTAGCAAACGTCCCTGCCGCAAGCTGCAGTCCTCCCGTTATCCCGACTGACGCTGACGAGGTGCTTAAATTAAGACTAGACGCTGGGCCGGACTGCAGCTTCTGTACGGCCAGTGCAAGGGCTGGAGTCGAGATAACAATTGGATCTGTGTTTGTAGATCTTTCTAGTACTGAGGTCATGGTGTCAAGCATGGAGTCCACGAGCTTTCCAGACTTTTCAGCCCTGGCCTAGTGAACCAAAAATAATACAGGGTTGCAGTTACATTATATTATTAATTTATTTAATCAATGAAACAAAAATAATTGTAAGTGGTAACAATGTGACGCTCAGCAGCGCTACATTATCTACTGCATGTATAGGGTTAAAAAACGTGGAGGATTTTCAAAGTCGGAAATGTGAAGAAAATAAAAAAAAGTTATAAAAGAGTACGAAAAAATAAGTGCAACACGCATGTCAGTTGATTTCGATCGCCATGCTGTTCCCTTAGCTAAATAAAAGTTGCTCCATGCGACAAAATGAAGAGTGACATACAAACAAACAAACAGATATTTTCTTACCGCCTGATCGGCTGCGCTTGTCGTCCCATTGCCAGAAGGCGCCGAGAGGCTTGCGTTGAGCAGACTGCCCGTGGTACTGGCTATAGCTGCGGTCAGAAAAATACGTTTACATCGTTCAAACAATTCAAACTGAGGCTAACAATTGTTGTGGAAGTTGTCTTTATCGAGAGCTCTGAGGAAAATGCTTTCACAGTTTCGAGTCGTGAGCACAAATTTTATGCTTTGAATCATGCCAAGTTTCATTGGACACTTAACACCCAAACCCAATATAGAGGTGCAAACGATGTCACAGACATGTTCCTAAAAATGTGTAGTGCACAGATTACAAACTATGTTTGATTATTTTAGGGTCCCACATAAAGAAGTTTGTATTAAAGTTTCACTTTCCTGGGACAACGAATAATAAAAAATAATTCATCATCTAACCCCAAAAAGGAACATACGTTACTGTCACAAATGCATAACGTCTAGCTGTGGAAACGTTTTAATCACTTTGAAAACTCAATCATCACGGGTTTTGTTCTTTAATTTATCTCCTTCAAGTATAACGTTGTAAAAAATTACGAAAAGCTTCTGTATAGAGCAATTAATTGCTTTTTAGCGACTTAAGTTTGCCTGTCACTGAATATTAAAAAAACGGGAAAAATACACCCTACCGACAGTAAAATAAGCATTAAATAAATTATTTTTCCCCTCGTGCTCCAAATATTATATCTGAAATGTCAAACTATCATGGAATCACTATATATTTTTCTGTCAGCAAAAGAAAACATTGTTTTCTCTTGCACCAAGTACTTGTACAAAATGAAACATTTTGTCAATTTTCCTAGGGAACATACGTTACCTAGTATTAGCCATGACGCAGACCCCATTAGTTACGGTTTAAATATTTATAAAAAAACGTCCTTACATCATATTTAATTTAACATGATTGAATCACTTCAAAACATATAAGAACACGTTATGAAAATAAAAATTAGGTGGCCTGGAACATACGTTACCGGAACATACGTTACCAGTGAAAATCTACTTGTGCCCGAAATTGGCTCTAAAAGAAAAACTAGCTTCTGTTTGAGATGTCAGGTGGTTCTTTCTGACGTCTGCTCGAGCTAAAGATTAGATGAGGTTAGTTACAAGTGTAAATAAATCCATAAAATCCTCAGTAACGATGTAGGCGAAGTAAATGATTTTGCCGTAATAAAATATTTAATTCAAATACAGAAATGAATGTCACAGACGGAAATAAATGTCAAACAAGACTATGCAAGAAAGAAATAATCGCCAACGAGCGCAGTGAGCGCAGTGCCATATACATTGATACCGAACGGAACATCATTATTTCAGAAAAATGCGAAAACAAGAGCTGAGATTTAAAAAAATATCGATCTCGTAAAAAAAAAAAAAAGAAAAAAAGAGGGTGACGCTTATTTGGAAGCGAAAGAAAACGGGTTCAAAATACTATGTAGGCCTACCTTCCGCCTCCTTATAAATGTCGTGAAAGACAAAAGAGGCATGCAAAGACTAAATCACGAAAACGTAGACTTCACCAAAGGAAAGAAGAGCTCCTAGCTGCTATAGAAGTTGCCGAGGCAAGTCCACGGCAATCACCACCTGAGAGACTTGTTGTGTGTGCGAGGTGGCCACAACGTGGAAACGATTGAGAAGAAACTGAAGGCAGTCACAATGAACAATTAAAGAACTACAGTCACAGGTTAATGAAAGAGGGAGAATGCTATCCGGCAACGATTAGCCATTGTAGAAGACGAAATACGGAACCACCTGAATTTTCCACATGCCCCAAAATTAAGACAGAACGCACCATACAGCAGGCTATGGACCCAAGCTAACACTGTGCAGAAGCAATTACTTTTATGTCTCCTCCATCCCAGTGTACCACAAACTTTCATAGTCTTATTTAGAACAAAAAGAAGGCAACAAAGAATATCGATTGTTCAAGATTTGGTCAAACAAGGCCGCTTTTATTTTATAACGCCACTACCCTAATTATTTTAGCAATAATAACAATGTAGCAAATTGTTGCCTTTATCCTTAGGGATAAAAATAATATTATATATACATATAATATCCAATAAGACTCATCATCCTAAAAATATGACTTATATAAAATGATTTTTTAGCTACAGTGGGTCAAGTTTAACGAGTTACACCTAGAAGTAAGATGAAATTTTTCATAATATAGTGGGTGAGAAGATTGCGAAGACGTACCGTTGTCTCAGATTTCTTTCAGCTGCTACTGGCATTTGCCGGAATCATTGGTCGAGAACTCGCGAAAAGGGGATGAACTTGTCGAAAAGTCGACGGATGGGAGTAGCAGGGAAAAAAGGCAAGCTGTATACGATTTTTTTGAACGAGACGACTAGAGGCCAAGAGCGCCGGTAACCAAAAAAAAAAAAAAAAAAAAAAATCATCCAGCACGTTGGCAATGTAAAAACACAGTATGAACATCTAAGAAATCTCAAGGAAACTTTTACAAGAAATCATGCAGCCTATAATTTGTCTTAAATAGCGACTGATAAGGACCGTAGAGACCCTAGAACTCTAAAGTGATACCTGTTTCTTATACTCACTCAATGGAAAGACTTTTAAAAAAACGTAATTTTGTGAGCCACTTACTTTTTATAGATGGAACACACATTATATATATATATACATTTTTTTAATTCCCAAAAGTGCCGAAATCCGCAAGACAATTTACACTTTTCAGAGAGGATAGTAAAGCTCATTTTGAACGAATTCTCTGCTGTATTGGAAAACCTATAGGTGTGTTGAAAAAGGCTTCGTGGTAGGTAAGATGTTTCTGGGATCCGCCTTTCTTTACATGCAAATGATTAAGACGTTTGATACGCGGATCGTGTTTGTGTAAATATGTTATCACTTTTGATTTCTGAGTTACTTTTAAACACCTCAATATATTCCACGAAAAAAAAGCGAAAAAATATCTTATCAATATTTATTAAACTCGTGTCCCGTATCTTTTCTATGGCTGTGGAACATACGTTACATTACGGTATGCGATGGATGCGAGGCGTAGTTGGTATTGTAACTAATATACCCAAAATTTGAAACTGCCAATGAGTTTTAAATTCACGACTAATATGACCAGTGGTAGATAACTTTTAGGTAACAAAGTTTTCAATTCTCTATACAATTGACAATTACTGCTATTGAAAGAGTCATCAACGTGGACATTGTAAAGAAAAATGATCTTTAGTTTGAAAGTAATTTTCCTAGATCTGGTCAATTTAAAAGTATTTTCCTATCACTTTTCCATTATTAATGACTCATAGGGTTCTGATAGTGTTTAGCTTCACAAATTTCCACAGCGCTCAACTAATGATCGTGTTTGTATCAGGCGATTCAGTGGTAACGTATGTTCTTTCTTACGCTTTTTTCACTTCAAACGGTTATCAATTTATTTGCTTACAAAACAGAAACACGTGGGCGTAAAATTGGGACATTTGTGGATTTTTGTTCTATACACATGTAAGTTTTAAAAATTTGGATAATACATCGAATTCATTCAATTTCATTTTTTGAGACTTGAACTTGTGAAATGCACCTCTATATTGGGTTTGGGTGTTAAACGTATTACATATAAATTGCAAACTAATTTACAAAATGACTTGATACATGGCGTAGGCCCCGTTATAACAGGAATGTCAACGGCATCAAATAATTACCTTATATTGATAAAATTGAAAATGTAACTTTACTTTTACTTAGGTAATGTTTTGATTATTATGTGGCATTATTTTTGGCGCAGTCATTGCAGACTTGATATGTTCAAACGGATAGATAGATAGATAGATAGATAGATAGATAGATAGATAGGAGAAAATAGATAAACGATTAAGATAAAAGGTGAGATATCACGAGTAGTCGATGACTTAGAACTGTCCTTACACGTCAGCAATGACGTCACAGCGGTAGTGGACAGGTTTGCTGAAGCCACGTGTCCCAACAACGCAGTGGACATATTGGCCGCTTGGTCCTGTAAACAAAATGCTTTCATGGTCACAACGGTTAAAAATGTACGTTATGTCTCGAACAAAACATAATTAGATCTACAGGGTGTACGCAATATGTGTAACTATAGCCTGAGGTCACAGGTTTGTGTCAGTTATAAAGTTTATTCCAGGGAGCAAAAGGCTTTAAGCATCCTTAATATCAGGAGGTTCATATTTTCTCTTTATTCTTCAAAGTACTAGAAAAGCTACTGGTATGGACCAGTTTAAATACGCTAGAATTCTTAATCCCCCCCCCCCCCGAAAAAAAACTCTGTCCTTTAAATTAGGTGTATCAAATAAATGAACCTTTCTGTTAAATACTACAGAGTTCACGCCTAAACATGCACCAATGTGTTTATTTATTGTATAACATGCATATACATCTACATGTATATGTGGGGTCAGCTCACCATGGCGTTGTCACTGAGCTGGTCAGGGGTGGTATCGGTCACCGTGGACATCAAGTTGGCCACACTGACCAGTCCAGCCTCGTCACTGACAGTGTCCAGTACACTGGACAGGCTGTTCATTAGGACATCACGTAACTGGAATATTGAGGAGTCAGCATTATCACCGTGTTGATCTTGTATAAGTTATTGATAAAATACACAGAATAAGTATCTTTAAAGATCAACTATTGTACCCAATAGAAATCATGTGTTTTCACATGTCACATGTCATGTGTCTCCCAACACTTATTACTGTATGATTATCAGAGCGTTTACTAGAGTACTACTCACTAGCAATATGACCTAGTGGACAGTGAGGTGTAAGTCTACTATACTAAGACACCTTCACGAGTGAGTTGGGAGTTGATGTGTGTAGGCTGGACAGCTGAACAGTAGAGGAGGAGTGTGCTAGCATGGCATAGCCTCCACTTGTGGCCACACTCAAGTTGAGGATTAAGTTAAGACAGAATTACCTCACAGTTGAGTTTCTAACTGGGCAGCCAGTATATATAGTGACACACAAGTTGGTAGCAATGTAAGTTTACTTTGTTTTATTATATATAGTACCATTCATGATTAGAATATAATACTGGATTTTTCTGTTGTTAGAAGTGTAACAAGAACAGGGAGTTTACGTTATACTATACCTGTAATTTGAATTCTATTATGTGTATTGTATTAATATATAGCTAATAGTGTAAGTTTATAAGTTGAATGAGACGGCCGGGTGGAAGGATGGCTTGAGGATAATGGCAAAATATAGAATTTACTCATACAGAGCGGATTTTTTTTAATTGGGTCGGATGGTAGGTTAAACGTCGAATCGTACAGGACTAGTGTGCAGGGCAATACACAGTGCATGCGAAATTCGATTGGCCGTAAAAATAGCCCTCAGTCAATATCCACTTAAACGTGTTCTGTAAGGAGTGGTTAAAGTCATTCATTATGATTGAATTATTAATGACCGCACAGCAACAAACCTCTTTCAGTTGTTCCGTGTTCGTGGTCCCGTTTGACGAATCCTGAAAAAAAGTGGAATACTCGGGATTACGTTTGCTGTAACAAAAACGCTTACTGGTCGTTTATTTTTATAATCACATTTTAAAAAGATACTGCTACACAAAATTAAAATTGCTGGAAAAGGTTGCCCAAAATTTGAAAATAATTATCTTCGTACTTTTATTTATTTATTTACCAAGATGAGGTCAAACTCCAAAGAAAATTTAAAAACTAATGTGTGTATTTATGAAAACTTTAAAGCAATAAATAATAATATCATAACTGTTTAGGACACAAAATTTAACGTTAAAATGTATCATAGTGCTTATGCTTGTGAATCTTATATAGAGACAATTTGTTAAGCGGCATTGTGAATTTATTTGCGGTACTTACCGCTGACATAGAGCCCAGCGTGCCGTTCAAAGCGTCCGCTATGGCCGAGGGACTTGTCAGAGCGGAGATATTCAGTGAGTCCAACAGGTTGGTCTCTGAAATACGTTAATTTGCCCCACAATGATATGAACTCATCATTTTCAAGAAAGGTACAATTTATAAATGTTTCAATTTTGTCTGTTAATATTTGTAATGTTCAAAAAACTGAAGCGAGTACACGACATTCTTAAACCTCTCATTAAACATCGGCAAAAGGGAAACCTATTTGTGACATCAGCTTTTACTGGATCCAGTCATTTTATCAATATTCAGATATTTTATTATTGCATTTTTCCTCGTGGCGTACTCTTCAGTATTAATATTGACTCACCCCTACATGAAGGGACCTCCCTGTTCCAGCCCGTCTCATTCCCCTGCCACACACACGCCACGGTGAACTCAGAGGAGCCGTCGGGGAATACTATGTTCTCCACGCAGTGAAACGTGTACGTGTCTCCAACACGACCGTCCGCTATCCACTGTGGCCCGCTCGTGACGTTTGAAGTAACGTTTGACGTCCCCGCCTGTCTGACGTCATTAGGAAACGTCATATTTGGACACGGTAAACCTGGAAAATAGGGGGAGCATAACACCCTACATGCATGCGTGCATGTGAATACGGTTACATGTACGATCAACAAATAAAAGTTTAATTATATCAGCTGCAAGAAAATATGCTCTCAATAACTACCAAACATATGCATGTATAAACTTAAAATGCTAAGACAGTAACGTACCGTAACATGGAGGGGGGTCCACCTCCCACAAAGGTGTGCTGCTTCCATTTTGTAACACGCAGCCGACAACCACGGACGTCACAGCGGGGTCTTCATGCACGTAACCAGGGGTGCACGTGAAATTAACAACGTCACCGAACGCGGCAGCAGAGTTGTTAAACTCCACGCCATTTGCGCTCATAGCTAATACAGATGGACAAGGAGTTGCTGAAATATAAAGTTTTTAATGGGGTCAACTCGACCTTTGTAGAATCAAAAATCGGTCAATATAGGTAGATTCTTACATTTTACGCTGAATATCTACTGCGTGAGTACTGACCAGGTTAATTTAGGGATATTCATAAACTTACGGGTGCAGTTAGCAAGGGGCTGGCCCCACTGCCCGGACTGTGCATCATTAATGATACATGCTATGGAGTAGTTGGTGGTGACACTGTCATCCACACTGTACCCAGGCTTACAAGCGACGTCCACCTTGTCACCAACCCTAGACGCAGTCAAGTTGCCCGTCACCTGGGCGTGGGTCCATTCCGTGACGATGACTGGAGGACACGGTAGACCTGCATAATAATAATAATAATAATAATAATAATAATAATAATAATAATCAGAAGAAGAGTTATTGTTATAGGCCTACATATAAGCTGTCGATTTTTTTTTTAAGAGCGATTTAACTTTTCTCTTTTCTAAAAGAATGCGTTTTACTTAATTAGCCCATATGATCAACTTAAAACATTCGCACGTGTTAAAATTCACAATAATATTTTGATTATCTTAAGATATTATTGTTCCATTGCTTTCAAGTCATTTTTGTACCTTATTTTGTTTAGTTTAAAATCCATCGTTCCTATGTGACGATATAAAAGCGTAAGTTGTAACTGTTTTCCACCCAAGATTGTGGCAACCTTTGTGCGTTATAATCGATCCTCGATTTACGTTATTATTTTTATAATCTAATAATGATCAACACGAAGGGATCGACAAAAGTGTCTAACCTATGCACACTGGAGGATTTGTTTCCCAAACAGCACCAACATGAACATCACTGACGCACCCCACGGACACAGAGGTCAAATAGAGGTCACCGGACTGAACGGCGTATCCAGACTCGCACACGTACAGGATCCGGTCTCCAACAATGGCGACCGAAACATTTCCGGTGACGTGGTTCTCCGCTGGAATTGTGGGCGATGCGCATATGGCTAAAAAAATACAATGCAGGCACATTGTGATATCAATATGTTAAAGGGTACGATAATCCTGACTAGAGCTTACGTCTCTTCTTTTTTGTACTCCACGCACTGACTTTAATAGCAGGCGTACCAAACAGTCAAGATAAATAAATAAATAGATACAGAATTTATTACACATTCACAAAATAAAAAAAAATTGATTAATTTATAAAAATAAAAGGGAACAAACAGACAAATAAAATTAAGAAAAAACAAACAAATATACAATAAATAAATAAAAATAAACGAGAATAATTAAAAAAACATCCATTCACCTATGCACGAGGGCACCGGCTGAGACCACGCGGTGGAAAGCCCATCCCAAATGCAGTCGGCGACCATCGTGTTCACAAATCCCGGCAACGTGTAATTGGTCTCGCACTCAAACGTGATTCTGTCCCCCATGGAGCCGGAAAGGTTTGCCATCACCAGGTGGTTCTCTGGCGTTAGTTCTATTGCCGGACAAGGTAGGGCTGGAACGAAAACGTTCAATGGAGTTTGTTAAGAAATATTCAGTTTGCCATGAGAGTCACGTTAAAAGTGCGTTACGTTTAAACTCGATGTTAAGGCAAACTTAATTGGGGCTTAAATGTATTACAGAATAATCCAAACGATTCCTGGATATGATTAATTCAGATAACCCAAAGTCTTGCGTCACAGCGCCAAATCATTCGAGATTTCGCGGTATTTTGAGGCGAGGAGTGTCGGAAATGTCATACTAGCGATTGCATTGCGGTAACGAGTAAAAATCTAAAAAATATCCATGGCTATTTTTCTAAGTTCTGCTAAGTTCTGTAGAATCACAGTATTTTGCACAACATCTAAACGTATCCATTTTCATAAGTTTTAGAACAGCGCTAGTACATCAATATACTAGCACACGAACCAATGTAAGAGCACTTTCAGAATACCGGACAAACAGATCCGCGGATCAAGTATGGCGACCCACTTACACCTGGTAAGGCACTGAATAGATTCCCCGTGGGGATTACACAACATGCATTCAAATGGATCGACCAAATTTGATCCGCCAATATGTTTTTTTGTTGTTCTGTGCCGATTTTTCTGTCGACTCATCTGCTACATGTACGGGTACCTACCCACACAAGGCGTTAAAGAACCAACCCAATCTGCGGACGTGGCACCACTAGCACTGCACGTTATGTTTTGGGTCGTCTCCCCGTTCAGAGCGTAGCCGCCTTCACAGAACACAAAGGCAGACTGACCGACGGTCACTGTACTGCTATCCGGGATCTGGACGTGATGGTCAGCCGTGATTAGGTTGATCAGCGGTGGACACGGCTGGGCTGGAATTGTTAACATCGATGGTGATGGAACTGATTGGTGAAGGCGGTAGAATTGGTAACAGGTAAAATGAGAGAGAGAGAGAGAGAGAGAGAGAGAGAGAGGAAACAACAAAGGCCAAACAACAGAGAACCGTATTTTACGATAACACATAGAACGAAGAAGAAAGATAACACTTACATGCACATAAAAGGTAAACTGCGATTTTCTTAACTAAGAAAAGGCGTTATCAAAACAAGCCAGTGTATAAACTCGCTCATACATACCGTCTTATATTCTATTACATACCTGCACATGACGTCAGTGAGGTAGACCACCCTGTACTGCTCACCACCCAAGTGCACGTCAACACGAGGGTGTTACTTCCGCTTCCGTATGCGTAACCAGGGTAACACGTACACGTGACCATATCTCCCATAGTTCCGTTGATGCCCGTGCAGTTGTAGTTTCCGGCATGGTCGATGGTCAAATCGGGGCATGGTAACCCTGGAATTATGATATGGATGGGATAAATATTTTGACAGCTGGTTTTACACATGGGTATGCACATACCGGGGTATTAGCCAATAACAAAAAATATAAAAATATAAAAATACAATAATTATAAAAATAAGAAAAGGTAGAAAACTGTCTTTGTTCCTGCATGGAATTAAGGAATTACGTTTCCTAGAACACTCAGATAATAATATAGCCAGACATTGTTATGATGAGGTGGTCGTGATAGACCTAAGTACAATACACAACCATACACACGAATATAATAATGATATAGAATAAATAAGGAAAAAAAATAAGTAGCAATTATGTGTAACATGTACCGGGTACATGTAACAAGAATTGAGTCAGTTCGAAAATATGTCCACTGTACAATGCAACCCATGAGCTTGTGTACAAAAATAATTGCAACTGACCATGTTGTTTTTACTAACCATAGCATACTGGTGGTTCCACAGTCCACGCCATAGCCTCTTGAGTGTAGTTCCAGGTACACAGGTTTGATAAAGTCGTGCTGGAGTCCGCCATTTCGTAACCATTTTGACAGATGTACGTCACTGTGTCCGTCATGCTACCGGAAGTTGACGTCACTGTCACGTGGTTTTCGACCGGGATGCTGATGCTGGGACAAGGTAAAGCTGGCAAACACGAGGTGAACTTTTATTATTGGATAAGAAAATTAATTAAAGTGAAGAATGGATATGGAAAAAAGAACGGTTGATCATGAATTTAATTAATAAAAACGGATCAATACATAAATGTTCCGACCAGCATATAATAACGATGGAAACAGATCAGTAGATAAACATTTTTTTTTTTTTTTTTTTTTTTTTGCTTTTGAATTAGAGAGCATGAAAAAAGTATTTGGATTGATATACGTGTCATTATCACTTAATTGCCTCAGCTTTTTCCGTTGCCCTTAAAGGTTTTTAGTTCTTGTAAATGCTAAACGAAATATTTGTACTTAGAGTTATGCCTAGTACTCGCATATTTACAGTACACCTTTAGTGAAAGAAGTATCTGGTCTTTTTATGATCCATACAATGGTCTATTTCATCTCTCTACGTCTGTTACACGTAGGGGAGAGCGGGGTGGGTTGGAACGCGGGTAAGTTGGAACATTGGCTTTATTTCTTAAACTACAAGACCGATCATGTGCTCCTTCAGCATGAAAATGTCACGTGGCATGGTCATTCATCCGGTAAACTTGTGGAAGTTTCGAAAATGCAGTAAAAGTTTTATGCGAAAAAAACTTATTTTCGCTACTCGAAGTAAGTTTTCATATTTTTGACATTCATCGTGCTGTAAACTAAAGTATATGGATTCTATCACTGAAATTCTGCACAGCGTTTAGGACCACCTTGATGTTCAAAAAGCTGTTGTTTTTTTTTAATCACTTCCCACGTGTTAAAGAAATACAGTGTCATAAGTAGGCCATGACGTCATGGGGGCTGGTTGGAACATTTGACATGGGGCCAGTTGGAACACTGTCAGGGGTGTTCCAACCCACCCCGCACGGTGTTTTTCATTTTTTAAACCTCTCTAAATGTTTTAATTTCAACTTTGATGATAATAGTAACGTAGTAACCCAGTACAACTCCAACTGGAGACGGAATCTAGCTGATAGAACATCTCCAAGATGCCAGAATGTGCATGCATGCGTGTAGAAGATACAATTGGGGATGGTTACTGCTTGTTAAATGCAGTTGCTACCTGTTTGGTCGAAAGGGGTCTGCATGCCCAACGTTGCTTTTTTGCGATAAATTGCTTTTAGATGTGGAAGGAAATGTCGATTATTACTGTGCTTTACGCGGCAAAATGAAAATATTTTAGCTGAGAGCCTATGTTATGGATAAACTATACAACACCAATTCTGTCGATATTGTTTTAAATGCTTTGTGTAATGGATTGGGGGTTGCTGTTAATGTTTAGTGAACGAGGGTACAAAATACGCCAGAAAAAACAAACATTCACCTCGTAACTTAGGCAAAGATTCAGTTGAAATCTCAGTTGCCCTCACCGGAAGAGGTGCTACAGCACACTAAAGCGCACTTAAGAAAACCCCAAAACAGCTCAAGTCCAGCAAGAATTAGACCGGTTCCAAAGGCTCACCGTCGCAGTCCAAAGATTAAAAGAAGAAAACGATGCAGTCGCAGTGACACACCTGAAAATGAGCTATTCGAAAAAGAAAAGGCCAAGCCCAACAAAATCAAAAAGGACAAGCGCAACAAAAATAAAAAACAGTTAAAGATTTCTAGTCGATAGAGAAAATCAAGAAAAAGAAAATTTAAGATTACCAGCGATTCTGAGTCAGAAGTAAAGTGGCCATGTCTGGTCTGTGGGGAGCCGTTCATTAACAGCCGACCAAAAGAGAAATGGGTTTAATGCATTGTTTGGCTAAAGTGGTCACAGTGAAGACTGTACAAAGGTTGACCAAGTGTACATATGTCAGAACCGCGATTTTGATTCTGAGTTGTTGAGTTGAAAGAGATACAGTTTTCATTTGTAGGTCTAACATACTGTTGTTAATAGGTTGAGTTATATGAATTCAATTTCTTTTCTCTTAAACTACACCACTTTTGTTATCATTATGAAATGAAGTGTAACTAGATATGGTTTATACATCGAAAAGACTATTTGAAAGCAAATTGTAAAAGTAAAAAATGCTTACAAACTATGGAGATACAAATGCAAGGTAACACGTACTTATTGGGAAATTAAAATAGATAAACCTACTTTTTAAATGAATTATACTTTGAATTTATATGCAAGCGTTCCAACTCGCCCTCTTGTTCCAACTCACCCCACCGACTGTTCCAACTTACCCCGCGGGTGGGGTGAGATGGAACGTTTTAAGAGGCAACTTTGAGCATTTATTGCGCTAAAATAAAAAGACCTACTTGATGTTTTATTTCATAGATGAGTGCGGCATATAATTATCTCCTATCAGTGTTTTTATTTTTGTCCCCAAAGCTTTGACTGCTGAGATATCGCAAAAAAGGTGAAAAGTGTTCCAACCAACCCCGCTCTCCCCTACATATGCCATGCTAATAAACTCCATCTCTTAAAAATTAAATCATCTACCTTCTTAACACAAACATACATTGTAGTTCTGGTTTTAGAAAGCGGACATTTATGAGCAAGATCCCAAATCATCCACTTACGTTATTTTACAGACGATGTGGCCGTAGACAGCATTCCGTTAATTAATAAAACGTCACAGTTTAAAGATACTCACGTAAACACGTAGAGGTTACTGTCGTGGACAACAGTCCGCTGGAAGCGCAGTACACGGACGTTGGACCGGACACGTAATAGCCGGGGTCACAGTTGAAGACAACGGTGGTGTTCACAGAACAACAGTTGGTGCCTGTTGAGCACAGTCCGTACGTCGGAGTTGAGTACCCTCCAGATATGGCGGTCGGGTGCGAACATACGGTATCTATAGAATGTACATTAAATGATTAAATATATGCAATATCCGTTACTCATTTGATCAGCAAGATGTTTTGTTAAAGAATGGGGTTATTGTTGTCTTTGAAAATATCATTGTTTATTTCAGTGAGTGGAATTAACTAGATATTCATAGGAAATGTAGATAAATGAAATGATTATCTTGCATCAATTATTAATAAATAAATGAATTTAAAAAAAAAATAAATACAGGAATTAAAATGCAGAGCACGCATGGTATTTGAAAACTGGCTAATTAGGGTTTAGGGAACCTGGTTTCACAGATGGAATAAATGCTGTCGCAGTAGACCCCCTACATGTAGGCCCTACTACTATGAGAAGTGTCGATTAACAGGCTAAGGGTATGGGAAATGGCGTTTTCCTGCTTTATACACATTGTCTACATTTACTGTGACATTCAAAGAACTGAATGCACTGCAACGTTTTGATACAAAACGCACACACATACACACACCACCTCATGCGCCCGAGCCATGTCTCTCTCTCCCTATCACTCTCTATCTTTCTATCTCTCTCTGTCTCTCTCTCTCGCAAACACAAAGTTATTTTATTATAGTTGCCCATATTGAAATTCAAAACGGGTTTAAGTGTGCTGTGTGTACAAAAGTGCCCTGAGTGTGTAATTATTCAAATACTAAGTTTACTGTTTAAGTGTGTACATTTTCATCAACACATGATTCAGAAGCTGCGTAAGAAATACTCATAGTATCCCTAAGCACAGTCCTTCATAAATATTTGACAAAATAAAATTATAACTGATCAATAGGCCTACCTGGAGGATTTCCGAGAGTCCTCTGACACACATATCTGGAAAGTGTTTCACAGCCCTGCCGGGTCCACGATCCAAACCCACTGGGGGTCAAGGCCACTCCCTGACACGTGCCGACTACGTCGCCAGGATTGCCGTCTGTCACTGAAATATTGATTTATATCGCTACGGATATTTCAGGACACAGACAAGGTTTCTTTTTTTTTATTTTTTTTTTTTTGTTTTTTTTTTTTGTCTAAATTATGGTTATTTAGGCCTTTGGGACTTTGGAGTCACTTCCCATTCTGTGTTAATATAATGAGTGTTAATCCATTACCTAATTCCCAATCCTGTTTCGGGTAAATGCACTTTAGCTGAGATGAATAACTCGTTTAATTTTTTTAATCTAATAGGTGAAATAATTTATTCATGTTATGTAATTCAGTGTCGTCTTCTTTGACCATAAAGTCAAGTTTTAACTTTTAAAAAATGCCTTACACATTCTGGTATGCAATTTTCATAAGATTCAAATAAAGCATACCGGCCGACCCTACTGTCATGGGCCTTCAAGTAATAATAATAATAATAATAATAATAATAATAATAATAATAATAATAATAACAAGTTAAACCTGAATTCAGTTTAGGCACATTTTTCTAAAGGGTGCATCAGTGAATTGTGATATTTACCCGTAAAGTTAACGTATTCTCCGTCACTCCACCGGAATTCACTGAAATCGGACGTCGATCCTCTTGAGTCATTGTAACTTAGTCCCAACCATAACGAGTCCGTCACGCCATTCGCCCTGGAAAAGGTGTCACAGTACTAAATTAGCTGGAGTTGAATTATTTTAGAAATAAAACGAAAATGCGACGATTTGTTGGTTTTGATTTCACGTTCTAAATACTTATATTTCTTGCCATGGTATCACATTTTCTGTCAGTTAATTTTTATTCTCGATCGAACGCCGGTGTAATGTGTAATGCTCCCATTATAGAGTCCACTTCCCATTCATTTGTACAGGTGAGTCGCGCCCTAGATTTTGACCCACTTAGGCCAGACTAACCCAAAACATTGTGACTAAATGGAGGGCGGACTTTCTGATACACGGACTCTCAGCTTCGTTACACTGGGATATGGCTCCCACGTACAGCTGCTGCCGTGTTTTGCGTTTCTCATCTGTTTCAGAAATTGTTCCATCGCTGACTGGATTCTGATTTTTTTACTGTCTAATTTGCGTATTTATACAATGTATACCTGACTTGCTGATTTTGCCAAAAAGGAAAATAAGTTTTCTTTTATTCCTGTGCTTCTGCTTACAATTCAGAATGCATAAGATACACATGCATCTCTGGATAAAAGCGCACTTCCAAACAGTGTTTAAATATGCATGGACATCTGATAAGCTCTCTACAAAGACCACATAAATATAGATAAAATCAAATGTCACCTGTACAGTACTTAATATTAGTAAGAATCCTATATATATATATATATATATATATATATATATATATATATATATATATATATATATATATACGCGTAAAGCTACACTAGACTTACGCAAGATAAAACATCAACGTGAAATGATTGGAACTCTCCTTGATGAACATCAAGGTGCTGCAGAGGTTCTCGCAGCTCGCTTTGGCCGTCTCATAGTCTGCCGTGGTGTCAGTCGGCGAGATACACATGCCATACGTGCTCTCAAAGGTAGGGCAATAGGAGGCGCCACTCTCCGCTGCTACTGCTGTAAACAAGAGAATACGTGTATAAACAAGCGAATGATTTTGATCAAGGGCAGGGGTCATTGCGCTTTTTACTGGCGGGTCTGGGGTTTTACTGATCGACTACTGTTTACTGTCATCAACATAACTCAAAATGTTTTGGACCGATTTTGATGAAATATATATTAAAATATTTTAATATGTTCGCCCTCACGCGATCAGCAAAACCACGGGTCTGCCAGTAAAAAGTGCAGTGTTCTTATACTTGCCGCGTTTTTTTTCCGGTAGTTTTTCTTTAATACCGAGAAAAGCACAACAAGTACACGAACGACATAGTCGACGAAGTAAATTTCTTCGCCATCGAAAAATTGCTTCTCTGTATCTCATTTCACTTGTCTTTTGAATTTTCTTCTTTCTATCTTTCTTTTTTTCATTTTTTTCTTTCTTTTTCTTTTATTTTGGAGGAGGGAGTGAAAAAAGTGATAACATCGCGAAGCTGGGCCGGGGATAAGGACGGGTTCTTGTCTCCTGAACCTACCCTTGTCATTTAAAAAATCAGCTGACAAAAACAGCAACATTAACGCATTTATTATCATTGTAATACGTGGCCTTAAATATTTCAGTGTATAAAGATACAAATAAACCTTTTGAATAAAAAAACTCCGAAACTGAAGATTGCTACCCTAGAATCGAAGAACTCCAGTACTTTGAGTACACATGTAATAAAAGCATCAATACACGATGAATGTAAAACTAAAGGTGACACAATTTGCCTAAGGCCAAAAATGTGTCTTAAAAGTATTTATTTGCTTGCGCGTTTTTTTCTTTATATTTGATGAAGGGGTGTGGGCTCAAAGAGATAATAATTATAATAAAAATAATTGTTTTTATTATTATAACCTTATTCACGTGCATAATCATGGAAATGTAGGAATGAATTACTGAATAACAACAAAAAAACGCTGCTAAGTTTACAATAAAATATTTGGATGTACTTACTTTGTCTATGTATGTCCACGGAGTACAAAAACGCTGTCAGCGTCATCAACAGAATGCGGACCATCTGAAATAATATTTACCAAATTTCGATATTTGTAACGATATTACACATTGAAAGTAGAAACGCTCTGATATTATGAACATATTGAGAATACGACTCTTTATGAACAAGAAACGAGAGTTAAGCATGATTTGAATAGGCATTAGACATTTTGAAAATTTATTAAAATAGTCATAACTAGCCATTCTTACCACCCGATCCGATCGACTGTTTTTGAGAATTGGAAATTTGTTTAAAAACTACAATGGGCAGCAGTATTCCAATATTGGCGTTCATAATACATTATAGAATCAATAATCAAATCAAACACTTAATGGTGTGAGATTTTCCAGTGTAGTGAACAAAGTCGATAATCCTGTCGCACAGAAGGAACTTGTACAAATTAAATATTAAACTATGCTTTTTCTTCACACGCACGTGTATACATTGCGAGCGCTATTGTTATTCAATGCAAACTTAACAAGGGCAATAAAGGTGTCTTTATTCTTTTAACAATCGTTGTTTCTATTGAAGGACTTCCTGAAGATCTATTCAGTTCCTATTCCTTTCACTTAGCCCAGAAAATGATATGGGCATGATGGGTTTAAAACGTGTCCACTAGTTTAATCAGCTGTGCGATTCTCAATATTTCCGACGTCAAAGATATGAATTACACGCACTTTATCAATTGTCATTCCATTCCGGCTTGTTATAAATTCAATGTAATAAATACAATTCCAGACGTTTTCCGCTGCATTAGTTATAAGAGTCCGAGTGTTTGTTATTCTAATTGACAGCGGGCATCGTAGGAGAAAGGATTCCGTAATGTTACCCTTTCGACGGCACTTTACGGGTGCCATGCGTTCTTGTTGCAGTCGCGAATCCACTCAACCCCATTAAGGATAAAGAGATACGATATCTCTTCCTATTGTGAACGAGAATTTTTGTGAATAAAGCAAATTAATATTTAATGCCCGTTTTATTGTTGCATCGGTTTTTTTATACATGTATGCGTTTGTTTCTTTTTATTACAATTTATTAAGTTAAAGATAATAAAATACATGTAATACGCATTACACATTTACATACAAAAAAAAAGATAAGATCAGTAATTTCCCCTAAATGACTGATGTGTATGCTATCCAAAACCTTTGAGAAAATCAACATTTATATACCTGTATTCGAAATCTTTATTTTATTTTATTTTATTTTATTTATTTATTTATTTTATTATATATATATATATATATATATATATATATATATATATATATATATATATATATATATATATATATATATATATATATATATATTTGCGTCTGTAGAACGAGTGGTTAAAAATTAAAAACTTGTTTTTGAGTATTAAATTTGCGCTTAAGGGAGAGGTAACCGAAATTCCAGGATAATCATTTTCCCTATATAAAGGGCTGACGTTCATTTTCAGCTTTCGAAATAAGACCAAAGGGCTTAATTTCGATCAAGCGAACGTACTACAGACAAATACCGCTTGAAGTATTGAAAATACTGCCATTTATACCGCCATCACAAACTAAACGCAATATTGAATTAAAATTAGAGTGTAAAACAATTTTCAGGTTTTGAAAAACAGCTATTACTTTCCAAATAAGCATTTTAGTTGATAGTTTTGAGTTTAGTCAACAAACGTGTACATGCATTCCAAATGCGTAGGAGCAGGGGAAAGTGGGGGGGGGGGGGGTAGCACCCCACCCCCGTATATTTTTTCAGCCTCGAGGAGAAGAGATCGAGAGTCTGGAGTTAGTTTTGCAACCAAACGCAATTTGAACCAAGTGCACTTTGAAACTTGTTTGCTATGACTATAAATCGTGGATTGGAATGGGGATGATGATTATAAACCATAACGGATTGCTCCTTGTACATCAATTACTAATGTCTGCAGTGCGTTGTCGGATTGATTCGTGCCATTCCAGCGTGTTGAGCCAAATTCAAATTGACAACATGCATGCAAATATTTCGCAATAATCTACACAGGGTTTTTACATATAAATGAGCCCATTGGTAACATATCTCGAAAAATTTATCAAAACCCATCCCTAACGTTTTGAGTGACGCACAACCAACGGACAAACGTAGGCCAAAACGAAACCTCCTTGAGCATAATATCCTCGGCAAAGCAATGGTCTGTAAACCTGCAGTTAAGACACTAACTTTACATAACCACTTTTCATTGAATAGTCGAATGAAAAACCTAAGAAATCCAGCTGTTGTTCACCTTTAAGCAAAATGGTGCATATATGTTGTAATATGTGTTTAGTGTGAAAATGTATGTTTTGTTTTGTGATGTCAATAAAAAAAAAAAAATGGTGCTATTCTTTTGCCACCCCACTGTACTTTTCATCATATGATACACGTTAGACATTTGCAAAGATAAAAAGAAAAGAATAGCTCAGTGGGGGTGAAGAAATAGATTGCGGCGCCCTGTAAAATGCGACCAAAATGAAATTCCAAAGATGAAATTCAAAAGAAAGAAAAGAAACAAAATATATTCCCCAAATTAGTGAAAGATAGGACAATTAATTTTGTTTGATATTCAGTGAAACCAAATGGGCTCACTCTGTCGAGGCAAACCCCATCCCACCTAAGGACCACATACTTGACAAAAATGTGTTATGTAGCTACAACGTATAATGTAGTCTCAGTTTTCCGTTCCAGTGACTTAGATGAAAAATGGTTGTAAATTGCAAAGTCACGTTATCTCTGGTTGCAAAATGCTACACTACAGGGGCACCTAATTTTAAGCCAAATGTTATATTAGATATGCCATAAAAATATTTCATCGCATGCCGAGAAACCAGTCAACCAATATCAAGTACAAAATTGTTTTGCCGTTAACTCTCCGGCTCTAAGTTGCTCTTTTTTAACATTCTAAGTCTAAGCATCTCCTCACTTAAAACTTTCTTCTTATTCACTTATTTTCAATAAAAGTAAGATATGTGATATTCACCTTTTCAGAAAAATCTCCACCTTTTTCCCTTCGGACGCTCAAAACAGCATTATGATGGGCCCACACCGGAGAGGACAAGAATCGCCCGTCCGTGTATGCCTGTCGAAGTTTATTAAAGTGCCCCCGTTGATTCCCTCCTATTGGTGACGTCACAAGCGCTTTATTCGATTTACCTTGACACGTTCACAAAACGGGTATCGACCTTGTAAACATTTTTCTTAATGAAAAAACGATACAATTTTTTGTGTACCCAAGGCCGGAAATTGATTTTATCGATCACTGAGAATAACGTTAACTGGTAACCATTGGCAAAATCAATCGACGACGAAGACAGTGCTAGGGTTGGAAAATCTGAAGCACCTGAGAACACTTCTCTCAACTATGAACAGTTAAGGATAAATCATGATACGTTTGCTTATTTTCTAATGTGGTTTGATGTACAGTGTACTGGCGCTTAGGAAACAAGGTTTAAGGGGTTTGTCGTTAAATAAAAAACGACGGCCAGGGGAGGGCGGAGGGCGGTGGGGGAGAGACCCATGTATAATTCACAAAGTAAACTTGCGTTATCGTATTTTCTATAAGTTTAATAAGTGTTAAAGTTAAACTTTTTACAATAATCGTCGTCAATCTTTCTTATTTATTTTCTCTGATTATTCATTTGTGTGATTAGTTGTGCATTCGGGACACAAGGTTGCTTTTGCTGTCATATTTTTTACTTTGATTAAGCAAACATCGGTCAGGGAGGTTACAATTATATGTACAGTCTAATGTCTTCATAACACCTATCGCGCAATCGATTATGTTTGAGTAATTTTCACAATCGAATAATTAAAATTGCTTCGACGTATTGATTTTTGTTTGTTTCGCCGTGCAGTCTAGTTTTTTCGCTTTTTCAATGGGTACCTTGGTCTACTTTTTACCTGGTGGCCGATTTAGTGGGACACTGCCATATATAAAGGCTATTTTTTATCCTAGAGATATCGTTTCTGGAATACTGTTTCGACAACACGTGTGCTTCCACATGTATGTCAAGGCCGGAAGTCAAAATATGTTTTAGAATTGCATTAATACCCTGCATTTTGAAGTCTTACGAAGGAAAAAAAATATTTTAAGAAGTGGCTTCACAGTTTTGAGATATTGCTTACCCAAAATGCAGCAGATCCGATTCTAAATTACTGTCTGTACCCATTGACATGTATGAATACCAAACTTCAAAATTGTGATTTTTGGATATGTGATTATCTACCAGATTGCAACTGTTGAGCGCGTAGTTGACACAACTGCATTTGGTCGATGTTCATGGAATTTTTAATGACCCGCAGCCAGAAAACGATGGTGTCGCCATCTAGCATATTCTTATAATGAAACATCGGATATAAATATATATTGGGGTTTTGGCTTCAGTTGATATGATATAATTAGCCTGAAAACACTGGATATTTCTATACCGTAGTCTTCCAGTATCAACACAAAAAAACAGCTCAGTTTCTATTTCTTAATTATAGTCCTTGTTACAAGTTACCTCATTACACAATACTCACTGAAGAGGTAATCATAAAAACTTTCTGCTTGTAATTCAAGCTATTTTGCCTATATACAGACGAGTGAGTTATTGATGAATTTGTGCTATTCTAATTATATTATTGATATTTGTACTGTAATGCATTTAAGAGAAGCGCAACTGCCAGCGTGACCTTGAATCAGAGCAAGCAAGTTATTGAATACGTTTGCAATGGGATATCTGCAGGTTTTTTTTTTTTTTTTTTTTTTTTTTTTTTTTTTTTTTTGGGGGGGGGAGCTATTTCATTTTGCGCAATTGACTATTATAAGACTCTTTATGTAAATGTAATATCTAAATTGACTCTAATGTGGTGATACAGCTGTCCTTCCCATGAAAACCATACAAACTCGCATATAAGCAAGTAGTTCTTTTGTGTTTCAATCAAGGTTAATACTGTATATCTACAGGGGTCTATAATGAACTCAGAGTGGTACATGTGTTGGTTTTTTTCAAGTGATATTGTCACTTTTTTGTCGATTGGCAGGTGTTAATGAATGTCGACAGTAGAACAACCGTTGCTTGCCCATGGTATGATATATGCTGTCTACAGGGTGTACACACTAGTCCTTTTGTAGCCTAGATTACGTAGGATTATAGCGAATGCAACAAAAGAATCAACTTGTTTTTTTTTTTTTTTTTTTTTTTTTTTTTTTTGCTGAAGTAACGGGACAAATTCTCGAGAATACGTATTGTGCTTGAATTTGACAATTTTACTTTGAAAATGTATGTATTCTCAAATACAGCAATGTGCAATGCAGAGGCCAAGTGTTTATATGTGACTACATCAAATTACAATATCATTCTATCCTCTCCTGATTGCAAAGGACCCAACGGGGTGAGGGTTGCAATCAGGTCACTGCACTGCAGAGCATTTTAAGCAATTAGTGTTTGATCCTAACTGTAGCAGGGCAAGGAAATTGCGGCTCAAGCTGAAAGCTGAGACATCAATTTCACTGAGCCTTATACTAAATGCGAGTGCACCCGAACGCTTGAAGAAATCCCTAGAACTCCAGCCGCAGCAATAAAAAGGAAACTTTTGAATCCGGAAAAGCTGAGGTATAGATTAGTTTTATCGATTAAGTTTTCATGCGAGGAGTCAAGGGATGTCAAATTAGTCTTTATACCGAAGATGAAGAGCTACTCTTAAATTTGATATTCAGCTTGATATCAGTGATGCATTATGCAATTTATTGCAGTTACTTGACATGGCGCTTTATTAAATCTGCATACGTTTTTAGAGATTGAATCTGGCAGTAAAGCCCCAATAGGTCTTTCAATGAGAAGAACATGTACCTGTCTGTATTAAGTCTGATTTCCCTGGTTTATTGAGCTGATTGTAGGCCATCAAGACTTGATTGCAAAATTGCCTGTAACATATACATGAAAGGGATGTCTACTAGTTTTATTGGATTATGATTACTGGCTTGAATTATCAGAAAATTGAATTGTTAGAAAATTGAGATTTTCTTGGGATATTTACCTTTAGAAAATGTGTTTTATGGATTTTGGAATTGAGTGGTATTTTACCATCCAATATTTCCAGCACACTTTTCAGCATGGTTGCCCGACCTCAAATAGCAGTAATAATTTAATAAAATTCATTTCTATCTTTTTTGATTTGGCTTTTGGGTGAAAAAAACTTATAAGTTCATATGGTGAATTTTATTCGCAAGTAAGATTTGCTGTAAAACGTTTTCCAATTTTTCTATTAATATGGTTTCGGTGAAACTACTTTAAATTGGCCACAGGTTGCGTGAAGTTATATGTTTACCTCTCACTTCTGCAATGACTACAGTGCTATATAAGAGTAAATACGGATTCTCCATCTTTTCTCAATTTCATACAATCATCCAATATGGATATCTTGCAGTGATATCTGTCTTTGTACAAATCCTAAAGAAATAATTATCAGTTAATAAGATGCGTTGTTTCCCTAAATGTCCCTTTTATAACTTAACATTTGGAAAAGTTTAATGCGCTGGAACTAAATATAAATCTGTGTCACGAAAGGCACCGTAGTTGTATAAATTATATTTTGCAGATTTTGTTTCGTCCCCGTTTCCAGGATCACGTGGCATGGATCACGTGGTATGGGTCACGTGCTATCCAGACATACAGACGAAGGAGTCTCCCCAGCATTCACAAATAGAGCTCGGGTCACGTGGGCTCTTCCAAACTTCACCGTCTTTGCATTCTGAAAAAAAAAATGTAAAATAAAATAAAAAATTAAGACATCAATAAAGCGTCTTTGCCCTTAAAAAATAAAGAAGGTATAAATAGTAAATTGCCCCCCCTTCATGAATGAGACTTCACTATTTTTCCAAAAAAGACAAAAAATAATCATTTTAGTTTGGGTACAGAGTATTTTTCATGTTTCGTAATTAGGCCAAGTACTTATATTATACCTAAACAGCCTTTCATATCTTGTTAAATTGGACAATTTTAAAACTAAACACAATGTGATGGTATGACGATGTGCTTGATTTTGTTCTGTACAATAGATCAAGAAACTTTTTGAACTTACTTCGTCCTCTCACTTCCTTCATGGACGTTGCATGGGACAAATCGAGTGCCTCCGTGGAAGAATCCCTGTCGATGAACAGTGTAATATACACCAATAGGAGAACCACAAAGCACTTCGAATGCATGGCTGGATAATTTTCCCTCTCGTGTTATCTGTCCTTCAGTATTGACTCAGACTAGTATTGCGAGTGAACTGTAAATCCAAATGAATTTCACTGTTTGCTGTCACCTCTGAAACTGTTTTAGGAACGCTGTGTTAGCAGTTAATAAGCATCGTGTTGAGTAATCAAAACGGTGATAACTTAATTAACACAAATGATTCGAATGTTCCTGTCATTTCTGCCGTGCCTTTTCCGGCGATGATGGGGAAATTGAAATGACTTTGGATAGATTCATCATTTTAACAGCATAGAAGGTTGAATGTGATGCTTTTAAAATTGGACAAATACATGAAGTGAATAAATACCATTGAAAATAAAAACAAGACTAATGATGTAAAATTAGAAAAACACCCATCCTTGGTCAAAGCTGGAAACTATTGTGAAAAAGGGAATTAAAGGGTCCATCATAAGTGCCTGTGGAGAAGATAAGTATCTGTGCTGATGATGTACATGATACAAATAATACAAACCAAATGACACAAATGATATTAACTGATGAGCATACTAGTGTCCAATTCTAGGAAACACGTACATTGTATCCCTTGGGATATGAAAATATTAAGAAAATCAAATACGCTAAAATGAATATGTACTGAAATCCAATGATACACCTCATCATCATTGTGATATGGTATACCAAATCCATAGCCATTCATCCATTACACCTTGGTTCACTGATTTGTTGAATATCTATCTCCAGCGCTCCATTAAATTCCAGTAACTCTGTTTGGCGTTTTTCCAGGGGAGGAAATTACACTGAATTGGCTACTGTTTTTGCCTCGTTTTACGTCGGTCGTAAATCATAGCAAAACACATTTTTCATTTAGCAGACTCGTCGATCTGTTGATGCAGTTAGTTGTAAGTCTTACAGAGACCTCCCTTGAAAAAAGATTACTTTGGGCAAATATCAGAAAGAAATTTTGCGAATAGATCACTCTGGTCAATGAACAATATTAACGTTCATTTGTATTTTTAAGAATGCCTTCGGTTCACATTCCACATTTTCAAAATGAGAGGGAGGCTCACAAAACGATACAACATTATCATCATCTACTTTCACTAAATAGAGCAGATGTCAAGTGCGGAGTAGGGGTAGGGAGAGCAAATCTTCGTTATATTCCCATTCCCATAGATTTTAGATCGATCTATCCCTGTGGGGAGTCTCACTAGATTCTGACAGCTTAACCGGCTTAAGCGTCTGTCCCGTGTACTAAAAGCTGTAAGGGGGTAATTAACTATGGTGCGCGCTCGGCTGACTGCAATTTAGCGTGAAACCCCAGGGAGTTAGGTCGATCTAAATCTAAATCTCTGTATCGATCTTAATCTCTGGGAATGCACCCTTAGATCATCTATACATTTTACCTGAATATATTTATTGAATAAATAAAACGATCACAATAATTTTACTGATTAGGGTGCTAGTTTTTGTTTTCTTTCATTTTTCAGCTTTATTTTTCTAAATATACTGTTATATCAGACCGTTTGCTGTCTGTCGATTTGTTTCATTATATGTTCAATCATGTGTTTATACGCCAAATGTTTCATCATTGATACGCTCGTAGTATAATTGGAATTGCAGCTTATCGAAAAACAGAAAGGTACCCGTTCCTAGAAAAAAAGGCTTCATTTGCCATGGGGTTATGATGAAATTAAAACGTATGATTGAAGATGGAATGACGAAATGCATTTGATTTCGCCGTATAATTGTTTAGCCAAAATTACTTCTTGATTTTACCTTCTTTCTTTCACGTTAATAATGCATATACATGCAAAAAGCGTGCATCGATCTCAATACTGACGTTCAATAATTGCTTTTTAATTTCCGGTATTTAAGGATTTCTTTTTAATCATTCCCCTGTCACTTGATGCCATATTAACTAACAGGCTGAGGTCAGTGTATGGGAGGAAATTGAAATGAAAGAGAGTGGTTACTGGTGCAGTAGAGAATGATGGACTGTTTCCTCTTTCTGTCATATTACAATTTCCGCCAGGAGACGCTTTTGAAGTTCTGTGTTGATTTCTTGGAAGGGTTTGCCCTTTTCGTTTACAGAACATACATTTGATATTTCATGACATATTAGCAGCTGCCTCATCTTATGAAAAATTATTTTTAGCATCTGTAGGTGAGCGACAAAGGGGTGTAGAGCCGCATTTTGCAACCAAACGCATTTTGCAACCAGTTTAAGTGCCCCATGATACGGGCACCCAAATGATGCGTCATTTGAAAGGTCGGAGTCCGCTGGTCCAAGCTAGTCATAGTGTGAAAATGACAAGAGGCCACGTTACCATGGAAGCGGACAAAGTCCAAGATGGCCGCTGAGGTTAGGCACTGAGTGGGGATGAACATTTTGTCATATAAATGTTCTCCGTAATTCAAATCATTTCAATGTATCCATGTTGATACTTATGCATAAAAAATTCAAACGCAGTTTAGCAATAGGTTATGGTACTGTCTGCTTATGGTCATAAAATTATTTATTTATTTATTTAAAAGTGCTCGTGTATATTGTATAATGTATTCCCTGCTGTATGACACAGCGCAGTTTGCGTTAATACAACACATCAGTAATCCCAACTGCCGATATTCCTGCTTCTTTTACCTTTTTTTCATAAAAATAATGAACCATTCCAATCGGGACTGTGTTCCAAAAGAGTCAGTGTTATCAAGCCGATTTAATGGCCAGCTTTTGTATATCTTGCTATTACAGTGTCAGTTCATAAAACGCTAACCCTGGGATGTTAAACGACGCTGACACAGCAGCATTAGTGTTCACTTTTCTCATTACCGCTTTTAAATGTCAGAGCCCTATGGGAGAAAACACGCAACGAAAAAACGGAGACAGCCATGTTGCGCTGTTGATAGAAGCGTACTTTTATACACGAGGATAAATGTGAAACTATTAGGCGAAAGAGGTACATCTGCTGGGGAAGAGAGATAATGAAACTGAACAGCTCACTGGCACGCTTGCTCGTTTATTTCAAGCTACAGTAACAGCCTTAAAATCGTGTGTATAGAGGGGGACGCAGTTGTTCTCTACGGCTTTACCTGTTCTCTATAGAACGGTAAAAATCTGATTTACAAAGCTTTTGGTTAAATTTAGTACATTTCTGGCACCAGCACACGACGCTCATATCGCTTCCAGCCATCTTTTGGCGAGAATCTATTACGCACTTGTTGTATTACATTCATTGGTAATTCATTCTTGCCAGCAGTCGTAACATACTCAATAAATACCCCGGTCGATTGTCCTTAACGCTCAACCCGGACCTACATGTATTCTGTATAGTTCATAACATTGAAACTCACAAGTAAACTTACACAAAGATATTAGTATATTTCCCAGAATTTTTATATGTTTTGCAATTGCTAAAAAGGGTTTACTTTGTAATTTTCTCCCGCCTCTTTGTCTAACTTTTATAGGAGCATTGTCGTTATTGTAGTGAAAGGTCAATTTTAGTCATACAAGAGCAAATTCGATTTTTCGCAACAATAAAAAGCACTTTGAGTATTCCAAATATTAGCTTGTTCACACAAGCGTAAATATTGGCTCTTATGAAATACATTAACTATACTTTTTGGCGCCAAATGGACAAGACATTCGCAGAACGCATACTTTTTTTGAAATGGGAAGTAGAGGTGGGAGTGGGAGGGGTACGCCCTTTGATTTGGAAAGGTGCGATCCTACCCCCCTTTAATATTCCGCCATCTGATGACGGTTTTGGCAACAAAAATGTACACGTGGGTTAGACAAGACAGCTCTGAAGCATTGCAGCTTCAGCATTTGGCATTACACCAAGATCGCATGTCACAGCTGAATAATGACTATCTATTTCTGATTCAAGTGAACTCTCCCAGACGCTGCATGCCAATTATGTTTCCCAGTGATAATAATTCCATTTCATAAAGTGTGAAATAAATCGCTCGACTGCAAAATTGCTTTTGTCTGATTCTTAATTATGCATTAATTTCCCAATTTAGCTTGCATCAAACAGAACACTAATTTCGTTAGAAAGGTATTAAGTCCCGTTTGTTCTGAGAGTTGTATTAAAATGATCTTTTTTCTCTGGTTTCTGCAATGAGACATGTCGATCTGAAAAAGCATGTTTGAATACCAGAGGCAACAACGAGATAACAAATGCATGTCTGCTGATTCAATATATGTGTTTATTAATATATTTGAACTTGAATTATGAACAAACGACGTCTAAAATATCAGATTCCAGACTTTCTCCTGCATTTTTTATAAATAAACTGGTAAATTTAACATTGACCTAGTAATGCCACTTATAAACTATAATATTATATCTGGAATGTGCACACCTCCTTATTATAGTTCTGGTTCGAGATTTATCTTCTAACATCTAATAAACTGTGTGGACAATAACGGTTACTCAAGCGTGTCTTGTGGAACTCATTTCCTCTGTGTACTTTTCCCCTTTGACAGCTTTAGCAACATGTTCAGTGCACTGATTGAGTCAAAGAGTGCATTGATGCTACGTCATCAGTACGAGAAATGAATATGTTGTACAAAAAAACACGGTAGCTTTTAAGGTTTGCTGCAAACGGATAACGCGTTTGGCATGTAACCACCTCCATCTCGACAAGCAACTCGCCGCTCTTGGAAATTCCTTCTATTTGATTTCCCACAAACGGCGACGCAGCTGGGTATGTCTGTCATTTGAAGAAGAACATTTTCTTTTTAACCGCGCGGAGGCTCTCAAGAGCATATAATTTCTGTGGAGGTTTGAGTTTTAATCAAAGGTCACAGCGTGATTCTACTAATAGCATCGAAATCGTACATGTAGTCCGCCGCTGCTGTCCGTGCCAGACGGATGAAGAACGGCTTTTGTCCTTAACGGCAAAGTAAAGGGGATACTTTTATTAACTTTCACGGTAAAATACAATCAGGGTTACCTGATCATCGACAACTGTCGTGCAATGTAGGCACCAGTCCGGTGCTAGAACTGTGAATAGGACTGCCCGAGTCAACAAGATTCTGTTCCAGAAAACCTCACGTGTGTTTGGACGAAAATACATGTAAGCCGTTTGGGTTCTAGTCCATGATCTGGTGAAGGCAGACATGAAGACGTGCTGCTGCTGCTGGGGCCTGAGGCAGGGGACGATAGCCAGCGCTGTCTGGACATTGGTTAGTATATAATCCGGTCAATGGTCAGTATGGAGTTTCCTTGGCGCGTGGAGTGGTAGTGACAGTGTAAATTGAGAGAAGCATGGTCAGTGCATACCTGTACATTGGTCAGTATATAGTCCGGTCAATGGTCAGTATGGAGTTAAGATTAGTTTCCTTGGCGCATGGGGTGGTAGTGACAGTGTCAAGAGAATAATGTATGTAAACGCCTGTACTATTAAACTGACCAGGAAGTGTGTTTTGGATTGTCTGAGTATATATACTGCATTGTGGGTTCCGATGCACGTACTAGTAGCTATATACGTGTGTGTGTGGGGGGGGGGGGTTTACAAGCGTGTGTTTGTGTTCCATTGCAAGCGCGTGCATGTATGTTTGTCTGTGGTTAAGTGTGTCTCTGTGTGTAAATATGAAATCATGAACGTATGCATAATTGTGTGCCCGTGTTTCTTCGTGTGTGTGTGTGTGTGTGTGTGTGTGTGTGTGTTTGTGATTTAGTGTGCTTCTCTGTTTGTGTACGTGCGCATTTGTGTAATAGTGCACATGAATGCATCATGTATATAGGGGCGCATGTGTTTGTGCGTGTGTGTATGAGATCGTTTACGCGTGCACGTGAACGTTCATCACTTTGATGTTTCCTTAAAAAGAATGCAGTTCCTTTATCTAGTTACCCACTTCAGCTGGTATGGATGGCTCTAATCATTTGACTTGACTTATCAGTTCAGTTTTATTCACAGCATGGTCGAACCTTAATCCCCTAATTGCAATAGATATGGCCAAATGGCATCCATTTACAGAACTGAGTAAACCTTAGATTTATTTGTTGGCTTGTAGCGGAGACAAAACTGCTTCATTTAATGTGTACACTTGCCAAATAGAATCAACTCAGCTGTCAACTTTACCAAATGTCGGTATTCCAATGAGAAATCCCGAGGGAGAAAGTTGTATTGGTGATGCAGCAAAAATAGTTGACAGGCAATCCCGAGAATAATCTCTGACATCAAACGTCTAATTAGGCGCAGTTGGAGTGAAAACGCTGTCAATGAGGATGTCATTTATCTTCGATTCAAATATATCAATCCTATACTATATCAGAATCAAAGTATTTTCATGTTGTTTTTACAGGTATTGGGCTGTTTGAACTCTTGCTATGGAATATATGCTCTGGTGGCAGGTAATTGATCATTTTCTATTATTTTCGTTGAATCAATGGTACCCTTGTGGTGACCTCGTATTAATCAAAAGTGAATGACAAAACCTATTCCTCGGTGTTTGCGGAAAGCCACTTTGGCTACAAGCATTGATTGCGAGCAATGCAAGGGGGCGTTCCAAATGAAACTATATATATAAGGGTTCATTACCATTGAAACTATCGTTCTACTTAGATCGATCCATCTCTGCAGGAACCCTTGCTGAATTCAATCAGATAAAAAGATTAACACGTCTCCACCTACAGTTGAGTAGAATACAGAAAAGCAGGTTGTTATAAGAGTATTGACTATATATGATTGAATATTTTATATGATACACCAGCTTAAAGATGACACCCCCATGATGTTTTGCAACTCGTATTCTTTCTGGATTCTTGCATGAAATCGTATCTAAACAACGGAAAAGCACGCTGTAGATGCTAATAATTCTGTCAAGCACCCTTTGCAACAGTATGTCAAACCATTATCGGTCTTCCGGGAATCATTTAAAATGTTTTTGCTACATTATGTCAGGTGGCTATGACTTTATAGACCCTCGTTCGTATCGATTTTTAGAACATCTGCAGTGTACAGATTGAAGAATCATTGTACAAACCTAGCAGCCATCATATTGTTATGAATACCACTGAAGTCAATCAATTAACTTATTTATCTATTGGCAAACTAATATATTTGGTTATTTAATCTATTTACTGTAATTATGGATTGGATAGATAAGACATGTAAATGCCAATGCATTTATGTAGATGCTGTAAATGTATGAATGCGTGACGATTCAAACGTCACTTGAAAACCAAAATATAAACAATAAAATTGAAGTCACGCATAAAATAATCGTAACATCTCTATTGTCTAGAGTACCAAGATGGCGTTACAAACCCTCATGCCCAAATGGACGGGATCTACTCCAGTCCAGCCGTGCTAGTCATGAACCTCGTGCTTTACCTTATATGGATAGCCGTCTCCATAGTTACTATTATAGCTGCTGTCATGGTAACGTAACACTTTGTTGTTTTCATTTTCACTCTTTCTCTTTCTCTCTTTCTCTCTCTCTCTCTCGGTCAATTATTGCCGCGGTCAAGGAAACAGCTGCACATACTCACACGCACATGAACGCACACACATACACACACACACTTGCACACACACACACACACACACACACACACACACGTGGTCACTGCAATGTAAAATTTTATATTGGTCACAGTCTTGATCTGCAATGGACTGGTACAATTTCAATTTTGATGTAAAACTCGCTTGATCGAGTCACTGCAAAATAAAGGCTCGTCAATGCAGTGAAAACGTTTGAAGTTGATTTACAGTCACAGGGCAAACCTTTAACGCTAAAAGACCCTACAAAAGTAATTACCAATAACTGAAAAAACGGCTATATTTGGCGAAATTGGCGCCGTCGCTGTCTACCTAATACTATTAAAGCACTATCTGATCATTCCAAATGTTTTTTCAGGCAAACCGTTTTTTGCTTCTCCCCTGGATATTGACGTCATTCCTTTATGTAATCTACACCACAATACTGATCATACTGATTTGTGTGAATGAGCGTAAGTATACCCAACCGTGGGGCCATTTAGCTGTCTCCTTTCTTAGGCATTCTCTACCTACGTGCATATATAAATAACAAAAAGGTTTATCATTATTGCAGAAACGCAACACAGACGTTTAAGAAAGTGGAATGATATTATTTTCAGGAAAAACAGCACGTCAATCCAATCAATTCTTCTTTGACAGTAGTAAATTCTATTCCTTATGCATATCTCAGCATCTAACAAGCAATTTGAGAAAACCGCCAGACAGATAACACGCTATATAGTACGGCCATCTCGCGCAATTCTATAGTCACAGATGGCTAATTTTGATCCATCTCGTTCTATTGATTTTCAGCGTCCTCTCCCGTGGCATGGATGCTTTTTGTCACTTGTGTTATAATTATGGCTGTGAACGTAAGTATATCTTCTATATATTCAGTGGACCGTGCTGGTAGATATTGGTTATTGATGATATAGAAACCCTTCTCATCTTCTCAACATCCTGTGGGCCTTGCTTGCAGATCTTGGGTATCCATGATATAGAAACCCATTCCCCCCCCCCCTCCCCTCAAACTGCTCCTGCTGGTTTGGGATGTTTTGATGGAGAAATATCATTGATTCTGTACACCTGGGGGGATTCTTTTGTCCTTTTCCGGATAGAACCGAGGCGGGAAGGAGCAGACGCTGTCTTCTCCTGGAGAAAACATGTGCGGGGGAGCATGTGTCTGCGTGCACGCGCATATATGTGTGCGTAGATTTGACGCCGTACCGTTATAAAATGCTTATGAACTTGACTTGATAAACACGTACATGTAACCAAAATTATTTCAGACAATCGAGCACTTTCCCGGGAAATAATTATGTATCTCTGTTTCTTCAGATATACGCGTTGACATGTGTCGTTTCCTTCTACATAGAACTTGGGAAGAAAAGTACAGCGTACCGACACACTAAGGTATCTTCCACACACACACACACACACACACACACACACACACACGGGAAGAATATATATAAGATTGGTATCATATTTAATAATATCATCCTACAGACATTAAATGTGTATGGATGCACAATTTAACTTCTTTTTTTACTTATTACCGAAAGAGGACTGTTTAAAATCACCGCATCAAAAAATACTGCGAATCTTTCGTTAATTTTTACAAATAATTTATATATGCGCTCTTATATTAGCATTTTTCGTAGAAATAAAACACACAGGGCCTAATCTCGTGCCTGATCTGCATTTGTCTTCTTGCGCCTCCCCAATAAAATTTATCTCTGTAAAAAACTTACTTTATAAAAAGAAAAGTGAAACAGCACTAATTGTAGATATAACGTTCAATGTCTTTCTTTTTAATTTAGGTTCCTGTGACGTCAGATCACGCTCAGTGACAATCAAGTCCAGTCTTCGTTCCCTTACGCAAGTGACATCTATTGTATATTCCCAGACAATCCACGCATTTGGACAAAGCTGTAGTTAAACCTGTTTGTAGATTGCGTATACATCGACAGACTGAGGATTTTGCCAAGGAGCGAAGTAGTGGGGGAGGGGGGGGGAGGGTAAAATAGCAGGAGAGAGAAGTCGGTTCCCCGGCACTTCCGAAACTAAGGAGGGCACGTGGTCTATGTTATAAGCCTTATTTTTAAAGACGTGGATATAAAAAAAACTCTGTCTAGTCATTGTTCTGTGGCTAGGTATTCTGACTCTTTACAAGTATACTGTAAGAACACGTAACAAAAAAACTAATAATAGTAATAATAATAATAATCTAGACACTCGAGACAGCTGTATTGCCTTTTATTTTTACAACGCTTTTAATAATAACCATCCCTTGTTCTTTATTTACTGACACGCCGTGCCTGTACATACATTGTATATCTACAGGTATCACCTGCGTTTGTCGTCACCGTCGTCGTCGACGCCGTGCCTTTTGTTTTCACACCTACAGGAATGATCAGTATTACTAAAATGCAGGTCGAGTTTGAAAATCAGCTTGATTGGACCAGTTTTTAACAAAAGTGGGGTGATTCATTGTATGTTAACACAAAATGTTTGAATAGCAACTTCATTGGGTTTTTTATGCTTTTTAAAGTTTTCATTTTTCAAACACTAGAATTTTCAAGATGTGACTTTTAACTCCCATCCACCTGATGCCCTGTATAAGAAGCATTTTCTGGATTTTTTAAGCAATAGCAATGGTGTTTATGTTGTTAAGCTTTATGTAATATTATTTTGTGCACTTTCATCATAATTCACATATTGGAGTTTTCCGTATGTGAGTTTGAACTCTCATGGGACTGCTGCTATATTCTTATTATCCATGTTACCTGTTGTGCTTTATTAAATTTTGATGTTGATTGACTGTGCTGTTATAAACATTATTTATTATTGCATCAAAATTAAATGACCTATTTTGTGCATCTTTATTTTCTGCTTTTGGTCTGTACAGAGAATGCGCAAAACACTTGACGGCTATAACGTTAGACTCAACTTAGTGGTGAATATTCGTATGCCATGTAGGTTGATAATGTCAGTGTTAGCTTGTTTTCCAAGACGGCTAAGCTGATACACAGAGAGTTTGATGAAAATTATCGGCGAGCTTTAAGGTGGATACTTGTACGTGTTGCCAAGAAAATGGTTCACCCTTCCAATGTTTAAGATGATGTAGAGCTTTATGAACACTTCAAAATGGCACTCAGCGTGATTCTAATCAGGCTATCTTCAAATAGACATGCGGTTTTCACAATATTATTCCAAAATGATAGAAGTCAAATTCTCTGATCTTTTTCGCAAAGGCATTCCTCTTTGATGTCAGTCGTTTTGAAGATTTAATAAACTGTCGCGCTTGTTGATACAGCATCAATGACACACGCACACAGAGGTACGGAATATCAGTTATACAGGACCTACACTACCGCCGCTATCCAGTCTTGCTACAACGGTGCAGGAGCTAAGGTGTGCGAAGTAGACTTCGATTGTAGACTGGTTTGAAGCGTTAACTCATAATAGGTGAGTTTTCTTACTCGAATATCGCAGAAAACCCAACCACTAATAGCGTTTAATCTTGCATTTTGATACGTTAGTAGTTATCTTATATTTTCAGACGATGACAGGATCTCTTGTCACCATCCTGGTTGCTGTTTTCGTCATAGCCACTGTCGTTAAAGAAGCTCAGGCAGCTTGTTGTAGAGCTGACAAAGTCGGATGGTGTGCAGACTGTACTGAGGTGATATATCTTACCTCTTACATACCACACACACGATAGTTACTGTCATTGTACCGGTATAAGGCCTTGTGTTTCCGGTATAAGGCGTAAAGCAGAACGTAATACTCTGCGCAGACAACAACATCGTCTTGCTATCTCACCATCAGACGGGTTGTGAACACGCAGTCCATCAAACTGAAAAAAAGGTATAGACAGAAAAAGGCCTATATGATGATAGGCAAAAAGCTCTTGCTGGGGGTCCTAAAAAAGGCGCGTTTCTGATGGAAAAAGATTCTATCTATAATAAGGTTTTACGATTTAAATGATTAAACGAACACGGGCACACGTTGAAATAATTTCGTTCAACTGTAAACAGCGACCATTCTGTTTTAGAACACTCCATATTGTGGATATGGAAAGTGTAATATATTCGGCTGTGCTTGCGACGGAGGCTGCAGAAAGGACTGCAACCCCTGGTACAGCGATTGGAATCAACCACCGTATGTATCTAACTATTTCCTTCCTATTTTTGAACTCCTACCAAGATATCATACAAAAAAAGCTTTAGATTTGCCAATTGTCATAAAACAGTACACCGCAAACTTGCTCCGTTAATGCGTTTGAGAAATTCTCAGATAAAGCTTTCGTTGATCATTGCTTAAAAGAAGACAGGAAGGAGTATTAAGAATGACAGTTCACCATTTCAGTTTCATGAAAGGCTATTACCGAAAATGCGAATGCCTAAACAAGAGATCTGTGGAAGATAGGACCGGGGGAGGTATTGTCGCTAGAGATACATACCTTAATTGATGCAAACAGGTGAGGGACCCACGCGATTGTTTGTTTTTTTTTTCTTTCGACTCCATTTAAAAGGCAATCTGCAACCGTGTGCCTATTATATACCACACTGGTGACACACATTCACTTGTGTTTCAGATATGCTCAAATTCCAAGGCCTAATTGATAAGAGGAAAGAAGCTCTGATTGGTATTAATATTCAAATAAAAAAAGCCTCACGTTGTCGAGTAAATGAAGATAATGGTGATTTGTTGGTGTTTATGCGAACTTTCCTTTTTCGGTTTTCACAAATCATATCACTTTGCTTTACAGCATGTGCACATGTTGCCTAAATAAATATTTATTTCTATTTCAAATCCAATTCGTGATTTTGTGAGATGATATTTGCAATTTTAACTGAAATACAGAACTTTCTGACACTTCTGTTTTTGCTTATGTTTGAGTCATTAATCGTGATAATTAGAAGATAAACTTTATCTATCAATATGTTGATCTAAAATTTGATATTACCTAAATGAGTTGCCATTTGAGTATGAACCTGTCGAGAATTAAACACCATCAACCTAGTGTCTTTTCCAATAACAACCAACAGTAACAATGTTTGGCCTATAGAGCTGTCTTATTCACAATCGAATCCACTATCTTCTCTAACACTAAATGATGTTACTATTGACCAACCTAACAACCCATTCCACCCTACTTCAGCTCGTAATGAAAGGGAAAGTAAAACGAAAATTAATGATAAAATGAAATCCAGTGAATTTTTCTTCAAGTTTTACAAAATGAAATTTAATGGAATATCACTTTCTGGGTTTTGTAATGGCAATGATTTGACATACGGTAAACGTCTTTGGGCTTAATATACACCTTTAAGTCATTCAAATATTATACAAAACTAAAAATACTCTTTTTTGGAATGTTTACCCCCTACTTCTTCTCCACATAGAATATATAGTTCTTACATGTTCTTGCCTGCGCACACAGCTGCGTACGCGTATTGAGTGGGAGCGTCTCACTTAAGGTGACAAGTTATCATAAAAAATACTTTTCATAGTGTATGTCTTCAAATATGATATTGATTCTGTGAAAATTAATACCCCTTCTTAAGGGCTTTAGCTATTTCATAGTTTAAATTTACCATATAGTTTAAATACAGGTGTTTTTCATCCAGAACATAGAATAAAGGATGCACAACTGCACTAGCCCAAAAATGAAATACAAGCTTTTTTTGTCTATGGTGTGAATTTTACATTTTCCATACAATAGTTGGTTAAGGTTGGTTTTCTGATTCCAGAAACAAGCATTGGTTGTTAACAATTTATTTTTACAAGATTTTTGTCCCAATTCGTGTTCAGAGGAAATATTTGAAAATCTAAAACTAGCCTTTGTCTAAAATCACTCAAGCGTATCAGTACTTTACTGAAGAAGTGAGACGATGTTTTCTCACTAAATACAGTGACCAGTCTAACGTGTAACTTCGGTTATTTTGAAGCACTGTGGTCAAAACAAAAAGTTGTGTTTTCCCCACTTAAGAATCAAAGAGAAAACATGTTGATTTAGTTATTATAGGAGCGATGCCACTTTGACGAAAAGTTTTTTCTCGTTGACAATATATATAATATCTTTGCGAGGGAACAACATGTATATGGAAATTCGATTACTGTTAGAAAAGGCATAGAGTTGATGTCTTGCCGCATGAAAAAGTGCAAGTTTTGCAGGCGTTATTAAATTTTGATCAATATTAGCAACGTTTAAATTATTTTCCATTCAACACCACTAAGTCACAATGCTACAAAACTCTGTTCTTCATTTAAACCTGGAAATAACACCTTGCTACAAAATCCTGTCTTTCAACTAAAAAAATAAACCTAAAATAAAACTCTAGACAGTGTATAATGTTGTGAAATCCATTTTAATTGCATGAAATTAAAATTGACAATTAGATAAATCAAGAGAATGATAACATATTGGTATTCTCAACAAGAGGACTCTTTAGTAATCCGAAAATAACTTTGTCTGCTAAGATTCTTGTCTTCTTGACAATCAGCTCTTGGAATTTGATCATACCTGAAACACAAATAAAAATTCACGAAATACGGGTAACACCAAGTTAAAGAATGGCATGGCATGCTAAAAGTGATTACTGGATATGTGCTACATTTAAAATGAATCCGAAAGAGGAGTAAAAATAGTAGCAGTCATTTACCCGTCTGCGTCTGCGTCTAGCGACAATACCGCCTTGGGGCACATCTTTCACTGATCTCTTGTTAAGGCATTCGCACTTTCGGTAATAGCCGTACCTGAAACTGATATGTAATTTAGGACATTAAAAACTATAAAAAATTCTTGTCTTTTGTTTGAATTATAAGCAAACTGGTAAAATAATGTACGTGCAACTGTAACACGTACTTGATAGCCATTTCTCTTCTTGAACAATTGTTAACTTGATGTGTGCGCTGTTAAAAAAACGCTGGAGCTGATACGGAACCATGGGCAGATGTTGGCAACGTAACTCGTGTGAACTGTTGCGTATATCACTTTGACCGCATTTAGATTCACATATCGTACTAGCTGGGTCGGACCAACTCTACGGGGGATTCTCGCTAAATCGCAATCAGTGGAATCAACTTAATTGTCATACACGCCTTGAGCAGCGAGGGGGTTATTAACTATCGCTTGCTGATAAAAATGATTCCACTGATTGCACTTCAGTCAGAATTTTCCTGCCAAGATGGACCGACCCAGATACCGGTAGTGTGGTGCGTGACTCTGAATGCGCCCTTTGTATTCCCGTAACATAATTTACGGTACCCTCACCGCCGGGGTCTTCTTCTACTGAGAAGTAATCAACCTCATTAATCGGAACAATTTCAGGTAGCTGTGTCGCATTGACAGTTGACTCCTTAAGCCCCCTTTACATTGGACGGCGTCATTTCTGCGTCCTTCGTGCGACCATGAAACTGACATCGCTGTGGTCGTAGAAAGGAGGCACAACCATCGCTTTGGTTGCAAAGTGATAAAATGATCGGCCAGTTGACGGCACGTAAAGTATCATTTGTTTTTACTCGGGGCTGTACTACGGGCCGCAGAAAGGAGGCTGTCCAGTGTAGAGGGGGTTTGAAAGGCTTTTTAAAAGTATATTTAGCGTCTCTGGGAGGCCTGTCGAGGATGACAGGTGTTCAAGAGGAAAATGAACAGATACATACGGCGGACGATGCCAATCGCTGTACCAGGGGTTGCAGTCCTTTCTGCAGCCTCCATCGCAAGCACAGCCAAAAATGTTACACTTCCCGTACCCACAATATGGAGTGCTCTGAAACAAAACAGTCGCTGTTGAATAGTGATCCAGAATAATTTCAAGTGGGCAGATGTAAATGTTTTAAATGCACATTTTAATGGTGAAGAAAACAAGTGACAATTTTACGCTAGACCTCACAATAGTTTCACCAATTCAAACAGATTCACCAATTCAAGTCGATGGTGAGAAATACTTTACGGTTCATGTTATTGAACTCTCGTTAATTCAAGTCTTTTTTAATGATATGAATATCTAACTATGGCTAAAAACCTCAGCTTAACAATTCATGCTTAACAACCTGGCAAGATAATTGAAAAGGTTATTTATATTATGTTTTCAAAGGGAGGATCCAGGAAGGGGGTCCGTTTTTTTTTTTTTTTTTTTTTTTTTTTTTTTTTTTTTTGTGGACAAACGATGCCATTT